GGGGGGGGGGGGGAGATGTTGAAGCTTGAGATATATAAACGCATTAAATCAATAAGAACGTTTCTTTGTTGGACGACCGGGCTCAAATAGTACCATCTTTCGTACTCCGAGAAGTTTGGTGGCCAATTTACAATTTTAGCTTAGTCGATATAACCAAATTACCCTGCAGTTGGTAAAAATTTGCTTGAATGACATTCAACGCCTTGTTTTCCACCAGTAAAGAAACTTGTTATTTTTATCAGTGTCTTGTGCACTTTCTAAAGTATATCTACCTTTATTCCCTCAAACTGTCCTTTTTTTAACTTCGTTTTTTATTTCTTTTTAGGAAGTAGCTGATCTTGTGATAAATTTACACAATGACTGCGTCAAGTTTATCAAATCCAACCTTTTTAAAGTCACCCGATCAGAAGGATGGAAGAAATTAAAGCTTACTACCAAACGGGAGGTAAAGGAAGGTAAGATTGCAGTGCCCTTGTCTGAGTCCCTATTCATGTGGTCTTGTGTAACCCACAACCCCTAGTCCCTAGTCCCTATTCATGTGGTCTCGGTTACCCCATTCCACAACCCCACAACCTCTAGTCCCTATTCATGTGGTCTCGGTTACCCCATTCCAAAACCCCACAACCCCTAGTCCCTATTCATGTGGTCTCGTGTAACCCACAACGCCGAGTCCCTAGTCCCTATTCATGTGGTCTAGTGTAACCCACAACCCCTAGTCCCTGGTCCCTATTCATGTGGTCTCGGGTACCCCACAACCCCTAGTCCCTAGTCCCTATTCATGTGGTCTCGGTTACCGCATTCCACAACCCCACAACCTCTAGTCCCTATTCATGTGGTCTCGTGTAACCCACAACGCCGAGTCCCTAGTCCCTATTCCTGTGGTCTTGGGTACCCCACAACGCCGAGTCCCTAGTCCCTATTCCTGTGGTCTTGGGTACCCCACAACGCCGAGTCCCTAGTCCCTATTCATGTGGTCTCGGATACCCCACAACCCCTAGTCCCTAGAGTCCCTATTTATGTGGTCTCGTGTAACCCACAACCCCTAGTCCCTAGCGTCCCTATTCATGTGGTCTCGTGTAACCCACAACCCCTAGTCCCTAGTCCCTATTCATGTGGTCTCGTGTAACCCACAACCCCGAGTCCCTAGTCCATATGCATGTGGTGTCGTGTAACCCACAACCCCGAGTCCCTAGAGTCCCTATTCATGTGGTCTCGTGTATCCCACAATCCCTAGTCCCTATTCATGTGCTCTCTTGTAACCCACAACCCCTAGTCCCTAGTCCCTATTCATGTGGTCTCGTGTAACCCACAATCCCTAGTCCCTAGTCCCTAGTCCCTATCCATGTGGTCTCAGGTACCCCACAACCCCTAGTCCCTAGTACCTATTCATGTGGTCTCGTGTAACCCACAAACCCGAGTCCCTATTCATGTGGTCTCGGGTACCTCACAACCCCTAGTCCCTAGAATCCCTATTCATGTGGTCTCATGTAACCCACAACCCCTAGTCCCTACT